TGACGAGGGTGGAAATAGTGGGGCACACGAAGGGTCCAGGAAGATGGGTGACCCAACGACCAGTTTCTCTAATCAGGACATCCTACTATTCACTTTTTATAATCGAACGTCCGAAGAAAATAGCATTGTCATTCACGTGGTGACAATTTAAAGTAATTCTTTTGAATTTTATCAATTGATTCTTTGTCAGTTTTCGTCATTACTTCACGTTATTTCGTAAGGCACTCGCCCCGCATCAATCTAAATTCATTCGGACGTCGTTACTTATAAAATATATAAATCTCGTTAACGTCGCGCGAATACGAACATCAATTAATTTTTCCATCGTCGGGAAGAGAAAAAAAAATAATAAAAAACTGCATAAATTAGATTCAGACTTTTGAAACTTTGATCAATCTGTCACAGACATTCGCAGAATTCCTACACTTTTACACGTTTGATAGATTAATGAATTGCTTTATGCTATTCGCCACGGTCAATTTACTTTCGTCTCTCGACGCTTCTTTATGAGATGCTGTGGCTGTTGGACCGAAAAAATAAAAAATAAAAATAAAAGAAAGAAGGAAAACCACCGCACAAAATCGACTTTGGTCTAAGACAGAAGCGAAGCAAGATTAATAAGAAGCTTTGAGAATTGAGAGTGGAAGGTGAGAAGGAAGAAAAAAATAATAAAAAAAAGCATCGATTTGTCAACGGATTCGGCTGACCGTATAAACCTCTTTGGCTATCTGCCAACAGAGCACATGTTGCATCAGCCAGACCTTTCAAATTGGTGCAATAGATGGCGACAAGTGTCTACGCTCCATTTGACACAGGTAAGAACTGTCAAAAAGGTAACAAGAAAAAGTAAAAAAGATACAAGTAATGTCTAGATGTTTATCAAAAGAAGCGCCGTTCTAAAAGCTGTAGTGTTTTAAAATACTTTACGCTCTACTGACCTAGTAAAAAAAAGAAAAAAAAATTGAAATAATGTGTCGCAGCAAACGTTATATTACGACTTCCGCTATTACAAAAACTGGCGAGCGCGCGCGTGTTACATGTGTATGCCACGTGCGCTTATGTCACCGCGCTTATCCATCTGGTGTCTGGCGCCGCATAGAAAACATCCATGCTAATGAATAGAGAGTATGACGTACGAATCAATTAAAGTATCATAATGGGTCTGGCGGTTTTAATACGGCTGCCACTTCAGACGGGGCGACGACAAATGCAGGTACCTGTTTGACGTAACGGGAATCCTTGTCTTTTTTGTTTCGACGAGAGGCCACTCGACAGCGAGCGAAGACACTGTTGACACTCGGTACGAGCCGATACGACTTAAGTGCCACTTTAAAGTATTTCTGTAGCACCCATTGTAATATAGGTGAGAGGTATGTCCTTCCACTTAACGCTCGCAGCCATGTAGACGTCACAAAGCAGAAACTGTATCATAAAAGCGCGTTTATGCCTCTGTCGGAGATTTGTCGATCCTTATCTATAAACTCCACTATTCACACTTTCAGCTAATAAGAGTCGTAACGGTTTTTCTTATTGTTTGCAGCTAAACTTTTACGCATTAAATTTAAAGCCTCTCTTATCGAAATTTAATATAATAAGAGCCCGCATCTACCGTGTTTATTAAACTCTAGCACCACTTCTGCCGGCGAAAAAATCGTATAAATTACCATCCGCATTGTTTCGTTATCGCAGTGACGTAATTAACCACAACTTTCAACATATTATGATAATAAACTAAACAATATTCTTTCACCAACAAATTTCACAACTAATTTCGTATTTAATAATTCTCTATCTGTAATTGAGAGCTTTATCGTTAATCATTGAACAGATTAATTATTCATTAATAATTGTAAGCATTTGCACGGTTAGTCTCTTATTTATCATATTAAGTGGCCATTAAAGTGGGTTTGACGTTCGTCACATTAAAATATTACTTCTCCCACAAAAAAGGGTTACGAAAACAAAGAGGAGTGGTGTTTAGAATTATCCAGTTAACTATGTTTCTGTTTAATGCTGTGTGTAAATAGGTAGAGAGGAAATTTAGTAGGAGAAAAATAATAAAAAAGAAAGGAAATCGTTATTAGATTACATATTGAATTCATTACACGAGAGACTAAAGCGTAGAGTAGGAAAAGACGGCGTGTTTACACACTCTTACAGATAAAAGAACATCACACTAACCACTGTCTTTTAATTAAGTTTACCAGGAAAACTACAAGATTTAAATTATGAAGAAAGATCGAAATTAAAAGATCGAATTACATCCAAAGAAAACGTGACTTTTAACCGAGAATTACGAGCACAGATGCGTCTAGATTGATCTATGGCTAGTTTGCATTATCCTCACTAGCATAATTAGCAGCAGTATCGGAGCAATGACCAAGTTATGGCACAGTTTGATATTGTTTCCGTTTACAAACGCTCACAATTCATGCTTTTGCGTGTAATATTTAAGCATTTTAACAATGAATGCGACCAATTATTATGACCGGAAATTAGCCGGAAATGGTCATTTCCAAATGACATCCACCGCATGTGTTTTGGAACCTTTTACATTAGCGTGTAAATGACCAAACAAATCAGACTATTTTTTAAATAACATTTTTAATGCATAGTTATTTTTTAAAAAAAATCACTTTCATCTCGTTATTGAACTAATTTATGGTTTTTAGTGGTTAAGGGGAACGATGGGCTTCTCTGTCAAAGAAAATTAAGGTCGAAGACACTACGTGACCGAAAAGATATAGCAATAACTAGCAACTTTACCAATTAAAACTCGACATTTGGAACTTTTAGAAGGACTTAATTGCTTTTCTTGGTCTAATGGAGTGCGTGATCGATAGATAAGTCTTTAATCTTCATTTATACTGCATTCACTAAATGAATCCTGATTCTGATAAATCCTGGATTATTCAACAAAAAATATCAATTTAAAAGTTGAAGGAAAAAAAAATTCGTTCCAATCGATTGCCAAATTAATGCAATAAAAATTTAAAATTTTCTGCAAATTACGTGTCACTTTACGGCGTAAAATGTGTAGAAAAACCTAGCAAATATGTTGCAAACCTTGAAAATTTTTTACACTTTCTCTCGCTCTGAATCAGTTAAACTGAAACAACGAGTAGTTGTGTGAGTTAAGTCGGATCTAAAATTAACTCGACCGTTTGTTTGTCCAAACTTTGAGCATTTGCCTGACAATTTAGGGGAGTCGACACACAAATCTAGTAGCTCGAATACCGGAGAGAATTTAAGCACTGTCATCAGAGAACAAAACTTACAAAATGACTCATCAAAACATTGAATCATTGGATCTCTTTTATCTAAAATTCAAATGGGTTTCGGAGAGTAAAAAACTCTGTAATTACGTCACACAGTGCAGTATTTTAATTATCATAATAGCGACGAAAGAAAACATTCCAAGAACTCCGATAAATATTACAATCTTATCTGCTGTAAACGAAATTATCTAGGGACAATTACTGTCCTGATCCACTTGTGACCCATAATTTAGCGACCACATTGACACACCCCATGCTACCGAGACGTGGTGGGATTTGCTTGTCAGCTTTGATGACTTGAATACCGGTTTAAGTTCGACTTGGAACTATTTTAACAGCACCGTAAATAGGAATTTAATTGGTAAAACCGTCGGGGGGGGAAAGATCCCGTAATTAAAACCATTCTTGTTATAAAATGCGACAAGACGAATTAACATTAGAGCAATAACAGAGCTTAGGAAAAGGGCAAGTACAGTATATTCTTTCGAGTCGTCTCTGCCGTGATAATCTCATTGGGAAGTCGTAAAAGTGTTTTGTCATTCGGAATTAAACGAGCCATCTTCGTATCTGTTGTGTAGTCAGTCACTCGGGGGTTTTGCAGAACGATCGTGACGCGCTAATGAGAAACCGCCAAGGCTTCCCACGCTCAGACTAAAGAGGGTGTAGGGTCAAGGCCAGATTTCGTAAGAACGTTAAAAAAATAAAACATACACTCGTCAAAATCTCCCGGGGGGGTACTAACTATAAAGAACTCTGCCCTTACGCGCCAATTCAATAAAAATCAGGCGCGACCCGGGGTGTCACCGCTGTTCCCGACTTCTAGTTTTATACACTTCTAATTAATAATCCCTGCGGCTATTAAAAGGGGTTTGAGTCTTTAGAGAGAGACTATTCACTTGTTCAAGGTGAAAACGAGGTCTACTTCCGGTGTGCTATCTAAACAACGATAAGAGCCGCACATGTGTGTGTGTGTATGTGTGTGTGGGAATATCTTTTCAGATTTTAATTAGAAGAGGGTGGAGGACAGGAAATAGCAGTGGAAGGAGAAATCACACGGGAAACTGTCAATTCTTGGTATATCAAACACACTTTATTACTGTCAACAAAATTCGGAGAGGGGGGAACGATCGAGCATTCGTTCCAAGGGTGGTTGGTGTCAAAAATCTTTGCAGACTTAACAAGATCCAATTTTAAAGACGTATCGACGATAAACTTTTTATCTTATCGGCAACCTTTGACTTTTAACCAGATGGTAATCGCGAAAGTTTCCACATAAGCTGGCTCCGGAGTCATATTGTCGCGATAGAGCGATAGTCAACATAATAATCACGCAAATGTCACCGCTTCGATTTTTACAAACGATATATTATCAACCGGCGTAAACGTAGAGTCGACGATGTCAAAGTGGCGTATACTCGCGCCACTTTTGTTCGGTCGAAAGTCGGCCAAATTTGGCGGGAATATACACCAATTACCCGAGGGTCTTTTCCGTTGCGCATCATTAATTAAATTTCCTTCCTTAATTAACCCGATGTATACACGAAGGAGATAAGAGATAGATCTATATTTAATCCAATAAAACGAGTGAGCAAACCATAATTCAATTAACGCTCTGTATATAAGATGTACGGGCGATTAACACGTGGTCCGAGAAGACTTTAATTTAAACACACACACACAGTTTATATAAAAAAAAAAAAGGGTAATTTAACGTCTACTTACCCGTATAGTAAAGCAGCTCCAGCGATGGCTCCACCACATTGTGCTGTTATATATAATAACGCCCTGAGAGGCGTTATTTTCTGTGTTACGAATGTTGCAAAGGTGACCGCCGGGTTCACGTGTGCACCAGATATGTGTCCGAAACACTGAGATAGGGTGGCCATAGTCATACCACTGCTTATAGCTTTTTCTAAAACGCCCGGTTTCCGTTCGGACCAGACCACGTGCGAGCCACACAAAATAAAAACGTAGAAAAACGACGCAAGGCACTCGGCAATGATGCCTCGCCAGAATTCTAATGTTCGTACTTCATCTTTCATGGATTTCTTACGATTTACCTGATTTCGAACGTGTTCGACCTTGTCTAACAGGTGTAGGAAAAACGATTCCAAAGTCACCACAGCCATGACCTAAACTGGTTATTCAATAATGGCTTTAACTGTTTCGTCACTTAAAACACCTCATCTCTCTTTCTCCTCTGGCCGCAATTCGTCGGATACCAGTTCGGGTGTGCAGTTTTCCACTAATTAGCGTTGCTTGGATACGGCGCTGCAAGGTGCTCGACCGAATCCCCGCAGCTTGAATGACAACAGACGGACACTTCACCGTCTGTACACTGCGCATGCAGCTAGCAAGGTGAAGCGCCAGCGATCGTAGCCCCCTACCGGACAAATCTACGAACGGAGTTTTTTCCTCAGACAGTAGTATTATTAACGTTTTTTTTTTCTTAAAAGAAAAAACTACGCATTAAACTCTTCGTAAAATGTTTTATAGCAAAATTCTCAGTAAAAATGATAGTATAATAATAAATTTACCGAATGGGAAAATAATTAGGTAGATTTAAAAAAAATTTTTTTTCTTTCAAGAATTATCTAATCCATTACATATTCGCCATTTACTAGTTGGCTCCGTGGAAATAGCACCTCTATTCTTTAGAAAGTCGTTAAATTCTTAAAGAGAGAAAGAGAAAAAGAGAGATTCATTCTTAAACTGTGGAGTAATTTGCGAATTTATTATTATATATTTTTTTAAAGTACTAAAATAAATTTTTTTTTCCATCTGTTCTTTTTTCGCGTAATTATTTTANTATTTATTTATTTTTAATACTTTAGCGGTATTGGAAGATATAAGAAGTCGCGAAGTTTTGCAGCGATTTCATATTTTCTTGGATTTCTTTATCATAACCCCTACACATTGGTTTCCGATAAGAACTATTTGGTTTGTGGTTTCCTTTTTTTTTCTATTCATGATAGACCAAAGACCTTTCTATCAGGTCCTATCAGGGTCCTGGGAATATAGTTATTCGCTTGAAATCCTGGAAAGATATAGTCAGTTTGGCTGAAAAATGGAACTTTTGATTTATATGCAAACTGAACTTTTGAGTTTTTGCATGAATCACCTTTTTTTTCATGTGGAAGCTTTCATCATACAAACATCGAAAAGAGAAACTTAACTGATTTATATAAAAATTAAAAGAGTTTCAAAGGAAAATTAATTCAAATCTTTGTAGAATGCTAATTAGGGTGTTCCCATTTAAAGAGTGAAAGATCATATATCTCGGTTATTACGTAAAGAAAAAAAAATTAATAATAAAATCTTTCTATTTATAAAATGTATATGTATACGAAATTTTTACAATGAATTTCGTTGACATTTTTTATAATCTTTTGCATGATTTATATTGCTCTAAATATAAATATTAACGATTGAAGAAACCCGCAAACGTAAGAGATTTTTCTACATTTATTTATTAATATATTCTCGAGATTTATGTTATAAACATTATCCCCGCTTGATATATCTGAAATTAATAGTAAAGAATAACCTGATACCTCGGCTCTTGATATTTCGATGTGTTAAAGCCTAAAGGTGACAACGTATATCACGTGACGTTCTAAATCGATTTTTCTTGCCTAAGGTAGGTAAAGTCAACTATTAAATCCTATCTTCCCCCCTCTTATATATCCTAGACTACAAAGTTCAAATATCTATAAAAGTCAAGGGGGGAAAAAACATGCATTATTGCACAGCAAACTTTTTCCGTTAATTTTAAAGTTAAAATCTAATTTAAATCAAAGTCAAACTTTAATTTTTCTTCAGGATAAACATCGCGTTATAAATTTTCATAATTTTCCCTTTAACTTCCTCCCCCATTTTTAATTTATTTTTTTAAAAATTTAATATAAAAGTAATATTTTTTCATAACATGCTTTATAAAATATTAATGGGATCTGTTAACGTTCTAATTTCTTTTTTAATATATTTAGTCCAAACTATTAACAATGGCCACCTGTAAACGGCCGTTGTTGGCAGGTTCGACTATATAACGCATTTAATTGTTAATTAATAAAAAATAAAGAAATTAAAATTTGTTAAAAATATAATTTTATTTTATTAGCATCAATTCTATTTTTAAAAGATTTAAAATAATATAAAATCGAGTTATTAAAAAATAATAATAACGTAATGTGATAAGTCGTGTCGCCATCTGTTGTCAGAAAGATTAAGTTATTTTAATATTTTTGCTTTTTTTTCTCTCTCTCTCTCTCTATAATGCTATTAGTCTAAATGTATTAAGACGAAGACATTCTGTTGTTAATGCTTTATGATATAAATCATAATAGTTTATTAAAAAAAAAAAGAGAGAAAAAATTGAGGAAAATGTATTAAGAGAGACAAAATGGAGGATATGTCTTGGCTGACAAGTACATCATCCATCTTGCGTTTGATTGGAGCATGATCAAATAAAAAACAAAAAAATATATAGTTATTAATCTGGAACTTATTCTGACAGCAAAATGACTGCATTCTCTTGATCTTAACCAAATTCTTCTTGCTGATAAGAAAAGTTTTCAATTTGCAATTCTTTATTGAACTTTAAAAAAAAAAACTGAATTAACTTGGAAAGAATTCCAAAACCAAATTTTATTTTAATGTCCTCGCTCGATCTACGTGCTATATTTAGACCATGATCTATCTTTAATGTTTTGTAAATGTATTTTACCTCTTATCGTCTATAATCACAAGTAGACTTAACTAGAAAAGAGTCGCTCCGCACCTTTACCACTCCATATATCTCGCTCTTCTTTTTTCTAGATAGTGCCAGGGATTTTTTATACATATATATATATAAATTGATAATTAATTCTAGTAATAATAAATAAACTAAGACGTATTTTAAGCCGGGAGAGGATATACAAAGTATTAAAATTTAATACCATCTACGCTATAAACGACGATAAAAAATCACTCCGAACCATAAAAATTGATCCTGAACACGATCTTAACGTCTTCTTCCTACGTTTTTTGAATTTCCTACCTGTAACGGCAAGGTTGCAAATTTATAAACTTTACTGATATAGCTAATAAAGATATATATTCTCTCTACAGAAAAAAAAATAAATATATATATATATATATATAAATAAATAAAGAAATATAACCCTATAAAACTAAATTTATATATTTTTATACGTTCGTACTAGTTATTTATTATTTTATTTATTTATTTTTAATACTTTAGCGGTATTGGAAGATATAAGAAGTCGCGAAGTTTTGCAGCGATTTCATATTTTCTTGGATTTCTTTATCATAACCCCTACACATTGGTTTCCGATAAGAACTATTTGGTTTGTGGTTTCCTTTTTTTTTCTATTCATGATAGACCAAAGACCTTTCTATCAGGTCCTATCAGGGTCCTGGGAATATAGTTATTCGCTTGAAATCCTGGAAAGATATAGTCAGTTTGGCTGAAAAATGGAACTTTTGATTTATATGCAAACTGAACTTTTGAGTTTTTGCATGAATCACCTTTTTTTTCATGTGGAAGCTTTCATCATACAAACATCGAAAAGAGAAACTTAACTGATTTATATATATATATATATAAATGGACATGTATGTCCCTATATTTCACTTTTTCGCCAAAACTACACATCGTACGTGAATGGTGTTTGTATGCCTCCTCTTA